GTTAAGTACTAATGGTGCCACGATTTAAAGTTTAGGATGGCTTTTTACTTCAATAAGGACTGGTATGTTGTTATTTACACGCAGATGACATATTAAAAAAATGATCATGTCCAGCCACAGTTTGGGAAAAATTAAATAAGCGCCCCCCTCCCTCAATTAAGCCCCCCCCCCCCGTCTTTTCTTAAATTTGAAATAAGCGCCCCGGGTGCTTATTCAAGGATTTACGGTAGTTTATTACTCCATCTCAGACAGGAAGTAAGTGATATCTGAGCAGTATCCATTGACGTACCTTGAAACCAGAACCAGAGTATTAACATGTAATCGCGATATGTAATGTCAGGATTAATATTACAAACAACACAACAAAGAAAGTACAGGATGCAAAACAGAGCACAGTGATGCAAACCCAAATACAAGTTAATTTTGAAACCAAATTAAAAATTGCTACATAGAATGAGATGGGTAACTGTAATCACAACTGGTGGTTTTCCATTTGCATGAAAAATTAGCAGACATTAAGTTGAAGGAAGTGAGTTTATAGAGAAGTCCATTTGCATCATATTAATCAAAAACTGGTTTTCTTATTTAGATATAGAAATACAGTATGTGTATTTATAATGCGAATTATAATAATATTACTGTTGTACTTAAGATTATAATTCCAAAGCTCTGTTAAAAACTGATTTCAGTTTCATTAGGTAGTTTGGTGCTTTGGACCCAAAACAGCAGCCTGAAAACGGTCCCTCTAAGTTGACAAGACCTTGAGTAGCTAGGAAGTTTCAAGAAATGGACCCCTTCACAGAAAGTGTCAGTTTTCCATGATATTGTGGTGTCTATTAATGAACTAAATCCCTTGCCGTATTTTTAATAGCCTGGCCAAACCAAACCTGGAGGCATTAGATGATATGATCGATGAGGAGGAAGGGGAGTTAGAAGAAGGAGAAGGACAAGAGGATCAAGAAGAACAAGAGGAAGGGCAAGAAGAACGATACAATGCTGACCTTTACAGAAAGTTAATAGAGGATGAGTNCCAATTGCTTAAATTGGAAAATTTACTGCGATGATCATCCTTCACTTTCATCTACAACCGCAGTTCAAATATGAATTACTTCATATATACTTCACATCAAAAATGAAGTAAGTGAGTAAGTAAGTTGTAAGTAGAGCCTTTATTTAGGGATTTAAGCTTTGCAGCTTATGGGGTCGTGTAAAAATAGATGAGTGAAAAGATAGTTACATAGGCAATAATTATAAAATAAGGCTTAAAACCTACCTAACTGTACGAAGGTAAAATAACTATCTACAATGTGAGGTCCTATCTAATTGATATTCATATTAACGTACAATAGCTGACAATATATAGAGGTTTAACAAAGAACTGTGAAATACAAAATATGTTACTCGTTAAACAAAGAGTTTCGCAAGTATGGAGTTCGTCTGCGCGCGTATTCAAATTCGTCAATCTTGTGGCAAAAACTGATTAAAGGGTATCGTTAATCTTACGTTTAAGATAGTCAACTGCCTTCTAACAGCATTGGCAGATTGGTTTGAACTCTAAAAAAGCTCGAAGAAAAACGTTCGTCTCACCGTCTCGCAAAGACTCTCATTTACCGTTCACGGATCCCCATTCACTACCCTTATTATATATTGTTGCTGTATCTTCAATCGATCTATTAGAATGGGCTCGCACGTTTTCGGGATTTGAGGAAAAATGAAATTCTGGCAAGTAAGGATCTAAAAATGGGAAGATTTATGGTGAAAAAGTCAGTGGTTACCGTTCTACTTTCAGTTTAACAAATGTGTCACTTCATTTTACATCATGACATTCTGATTAGCTTGACCTAATATTTTAAATAGATGCATTCCTCATGGCTGACAAACTCTACCTCAATTAAGTCTTGACTACCACGTCAAAAAATGCACTAATGTAATGGTTACTAACGGTACAAATGTGTACAAGGAAAACTACAAAACACGGCCGAATGAGATCCCAAACGAGCCTAATCGGACCCTTAATTGGGTCGACTAGCAGCTCTCGTAAGGTCTCACATAAATGGCTTGATACCCTTTAAGAATACAATAGAACGAACAACAGAAACAATGCCCCAAACAATAACTGATTGCTTAGGAGACCCACTACCGGGCTGCTACTTATACTAATTAGATTTCTAGCGAGTCTCCGCTGACCCGAACCGACCTCATCATCACTTTCCCGCGTGTTTCAGTTTTGACGGGTGGTTTTTGCAGCTGCAAGTTTTCAACATTTTATCGGCTGTTTTCTTCTGCGTTGTGTTTTCCAAGCTCTCCAGTGTTGCCAATAGTACAATTCTGGAAGATTGGGCAAATACAATCATAACTACAGCATATTTTAAGAAATTACGTATTACTAAACACTAGCACAGAGGAATGATCCCGGCTGCGAATGGAGTCGATGTTGATTGTTTGGAGGGCGATGAAAAGGAAAGCAGAGTTTACAAAGTTGTCCTGACAGGAGGTTTGTTCAATTAACTAGCTTAGGTTAAGATTCAGTGAGAAGAAAATAAATTACAAGGTTTTAGAAGCTTCTATTTCCTCGTCTCGTAATAATTTGAGGCTCGGTCGAAGGTCATGTTTTTAAAAGTAAAGACCTCAATTTAGAGTTGTTCATTGTTATTCGAAGCCAATGCGCTTGTTTGTGTGCTTTATTATGCACCCCAAGGCAGTCTTCTAAACACCAAAGTCTGTTCAGAATGTTTATCTTTTAACAGCTTTTTTGAAGCTTTGTTGCGATAGTGCACAGTGCTTACGTACACTGCTATTCGAATAAATATTCATGTTCAATTTTTGAGCAAATTATGCACCTGCCTTTATAATTGCCCTGTTTTCGCATCGTTATGTCTCTCTCCAGTGATGAGGAATCTCGAGGGTTAAGGACCCCTGGTTGGCATTTTCTTTCACAACCTATGCCCATTAATCCTCAATCTTCAATATCCCCTAACCAGGGACAAAGAGTTGTCTTGCAAAGTTTTGTTGGTCTTGTGGTATTTAGTTGTCAAGTAGATGGTTAAATAGAATAAAGCCTAGTTCAAACAAACAACATGGCAACATAAGAAGGAAGTTATGTGGTTATGTTAGCAGTCTGAACATCCTGACAAATGATATGATAGCAACATGACATCATGAACAAAATGACACAGGGAAAAAAAACTGATCTTCCCTGGTGTCTTAATGTTAATGTTCACATAACTGACATAAGTGATTACCGGTATGTCATCATGTCACTAGTGTCGAACAGGCCTTTCATAGATATTGTGGCTCCATTAGGAGTTTTCAGGAAACGAAAAAAACAACAACAACAACAACAGAACACAGTAAAATACTGGGGGGGAGGGGGGAAGAAATGAGGATATGGGACATTTGGATCAGATAAAACAGGAAGTCAAGTAGGAAAACTGTTAATTTTTGGAATTCGAATTAATGGGCTACAGGATATTTTGGCCACCAATGAAGAGGAATCAGGATACTCAGATTAACCCCCCCCCCCCCCTGCCTTTAATGGGATCTCCACCTTGTCACAAGTGATGTACCATTAAATTCTCAGAAGTAGCACAAGATGAATATAAGACAGTCAGTAAGAAGAATTAACATTGTGACCTTGGGAATAAATAGTTTATGTACCTCCTATTTTTAAAGGTCCCTGTGCAGGGAAGACAACAGTGCAAGCAATGATGTCAACTTTCTTTGAAAATCTTGGTTGGAAGGTAAATATTGTCTTGTTAATAAAGTTAACGAGGATGGTTTTGTGACTTTGTGTAACTGCTTACAGTTTTCATGTTTAAGATGACCATCATTAGGGTTATCCTTGTTCTGTACTAGGAAATAACTTTTCTTTTTTTATTCAAGTCAAATCAGTATTTCTGAGACTCCATATGTTTAATGGATCACCCACGGTGCTGAAATATTTCACCTCTTTACAAACCAGGGAAGAAATGGTTTATTTGTCATTACAGGTTTACAGAGTACCTGAAGCAGCCACAGTATTACTGAGGTAATGTTCAGTTTCCAGAACTATTTTTCATTACAGTCAGTGGAACTGGCCTCTACTAATAGCCATTCTTCCTAGTACTAATGCCAGCTCTGTGTTTGGCCAAGAATTATTGTCTTCCCATCAGTGTACAGATCCACACATATAACTGTTATTGAAACCATGCTACATCTCCCATCTTTCTAAAGCAGTCAGTAACTTCTGGGGTGGGGCCAGAATGGCCATTGTAATGCTTCTGTTTTCAAAATGTCAGTGATTAAAGGTATGCCGTTTATGTTTTATCTTGGCAGTGGTGGTGTGAAGTTCACAGATCTTGATGACCAAGAAGGTGTGGTGTAAACTTTTAAGCCTTATATTTTGAAGGTTGCCTAACATTGAAAAGATAATTTTTCTCTTGCTTGTTTTCTATTTCCAGTTTACACATTTCAGGAAAATCTTATAAGGACCTTGCTGCAGTTAGAGCAGACTTTTTTTGACTTAGCTACAACATCTAAGAGGGACACAATAGTGATAAGTGACAGAGGGGCTATGGATCCATCATCATGTAAGTCATATGAACTACCACCTTTATTACCTTCAGTTCTAAAGTTCTGAGATTATTATAAGACAGTCATAAAAAAGAATCATTTTTTGATTTATTTTTGAATAAATTTTCAGACATGAGTGCAGCTCAGTGGGAAGAACTTCTTAAAAATAACAAGTGGAACAATGTGTCATTACGAGATGCACGCTATGATCAAGTGATTCATCTGGTAAGTGAAAAGAGTTTCATTGATCAGTTTGCCTTCATGTAGTCTGAGCCTGAGAAGGTCACTACTCCTCAGGAAAAAAATTCTAGTTTGCAGTAGATGAGATTCTCTGAAATTCACACCCCCCTGCTGCTCCACTTAAGAAAATACATAATTCTGAATTTAAAATTTGAACTTGACTGTGGCTGTAGTAAACTTACATCAGTCTTAGCTTCATGATGTCTACTTAGAACTACTTTTTCATATGGGGACATCTGACGTTGAATTAAAACATTCCTTTGTGGTAATGACCTATTGTAATTACATCTGTTATTATGGCATAGTTTCTGATCAGTCTTGAATTTTCATGGACAGGTAATACTAAGTCCATAAGACTGCTCAGTCAGATCAGTCACACCTTGTTAGAGGTGCATTCTGGAATGATTCTTTCTCAAGCACACTACTCGACTTCCATCCATTTTGAGAGGTCCAGTCAGGATGACAGCCGGACTCCTAAATGACTTAAAATTGAGCAAAAGGATATTAATGACCACACAACATTCTTTTCACTGGCAAACCTGACTAATGCAGGAAAACAAATTATAACCATAGGTATCAGCTGCCCTAGGAGCGGAAGAGTTTTACACGACAGCAAACAACATAGCACGGAAAGAACCAATAGAACTGGCTATAGAGCTAGACATAAAAGCACAGCAGGTCAGAGTTTCACACATTAAATGAAGTTATTTTCAGATCTTTCGAATTTTGGATAATTAATTATTCATTTGAACTAACATTAAAGGGGTGCAAGGAAAAAGACCCTAAGAGACATCTGATAGACTGCAACATTCTCCTTGCAAATTGCTTTTCACTTCCTTCTACAAATAAAAGAGGAGAATTTTACATGAGATCAAGATTCACTCGGGACTCTTTTCCACACATGCCTTCATTTGATAGGTATTTAGCCACAAATTGGCTCAAGTCAATATATGTAAGATACCGTATCTCACATTATATATCTATAATATCACTTTCGGTGACAAGTGATGTTTAGCTCTTGCTTATGTAGCTTTATAAATTAAAGCTGAGGGTATAAAACAATGCAAGTTTTTTTCAATTCAACACCTGTTGACTCAAGTGTCTCATGCCCGGCACTAAAGCTGAACAAGCCCTCAGTACACATCAGCTCCTTTGATCTTTTTTATCCATACTAACTTAACTATGCAGTTAAACAACAAATGAGGTCTTATCTGAGCTAACTTGTTTTTTCTTGGCAGGCATGGGTAGGACACCCTTATGTAGATGTGATTGACAACTCTACAGACTTTAATAACAAAGTACGACGTGCGATTGATGTAAGAATGCAAACAAAATTCACAGCTATTAACGTCATAATAATCACTTCTGATCAGTATTTACTACATGTTAGCTATGGATTTAATCTTTTCAAATCCATCATGCTGCAATAGCCAGATAAGATTCAGGTGGCTGCAGGCAAGATGAGAAATTCCAGCCACTCCCACTACCAAACAGATTTGCTGTTCTTGCACACTCACACTGCAAAAGAATAAAGTTTCTCATACTTTTGTTTGTTCAGGCTGTTTGTAACAAAATGGGTCTTTACACTGGTGATCGACTATCACCAGAGAGTATCAAGCGCAAGTTCCTAATATCTTGTCTTCCAGATATAAAGGTAAATATTTCCTTCCTTAATATGTACAGTGTAGTGTAGTGTCGTCAAAATTTCAAGAGGTTACCATCTGTGGCCGCATTTTACCCACGTTTTACAATTTTGATACATTTTTACTATTTTCCTTGAAAGAATTTAATTGTTAAATAATCAAGACCTCATTCTCCGTGTGACTTGAATTTTGTAGAAGCCGAAATCATTATTTTGTGCACTTTTTAATTTCTCTGTAGTTGTTTCCTACCTTTCAAGACTTTGATGTGGTGCATGATTACCTCGCAACTTCAAACCCCAAAAAACAAGCACGTCTGAGAAGGAGAGGACAAAATGGCAAGTTGGGTTTTTATTCTTAAAGAATTATTTCAGTCCTTTTTCCTGTCAGAGGGAAACACGGCAACCTTAGGGCTAGTGTACCGGATCCCAGATATAGATTTGTGGGGTTCAAGGTTAGTGTTTTGTTCACCAAGGGTACAAGGTTAGTATGTTGAAAAATGTTGAAGAAAGGGTATAATCACCTGCAATGGACAAATAAAAGTTTGAAGGGGAATATACTTCCTGCACTTCATGTTCCAGAAACTGGAGTTGAAAAACAGCCTGTCAAGGAACCATTAAACCATCCAGAGTCTTCTTTGAACAATAACTGTTTTTCAGGAACCTAATGCAGTAGATTTGTAGATGTGATGAAAGCTGTGATAACAGTGTTTCTACTTCTTTTAGGTCGCTATACCTATATGCATACTTTACGAGAAGAAACCAAGGTCAATGGCCAAGTTGTGGAAGTCAGAACTAATTTGTTGGAGAAAGACTATGAGGTACAAATAGATAAATATTCCTTATCTAAATATTTCTTATCTTCTTTATTTTGATATTTCTCCACTTCTATGTAATGTTTATTTTTAAAGCATGAGTTGAATTTCTCTTTAGATGTTGTACTCGACCCAGCTAGATCACAATCGTCAATCTGTGTACAAGACCAGAAGATGCTTTTTGTGGAAAAATCACTACTTCCAACTTGACATCTACAATGAACCTTGTCATCCAAGGTATGTTAGTTTTATTAGATTGGACAGGTCATATAAATTTAGTTAAACAGTGGTCAAGTTTGACATTCTCTAGCTAATAATGCGATGATTGGACTGCAAAATGTATGTAAAATTACCTGATAGTTGTGGGAGATGTGTGGACCAAATGGTTACCAAACAGACCATTTTTTAGTTGCCTTTTGCATCTGTGTCAAAACAAGTCTTCGTGCAAAACCATTCATATAAAAAGGTGTTCTGCCTGTAGGTTTATTTTCATGCAAATCAAACTCATTTCCATATGAAAGGTTTTGCACGAGGACTCATTTTAAACAGAGGCTCAAGGTAACTCAGAAATGGCCTATTCTTATATTTTATCAAAATGCACTGAACCCTAGCTATAGGTCACAAGATCTAATAGTTTAATTCTCTCAACAGTTTCTATAAGAAATGTGTGGAGCTGAGTAAAGAGAAGTTGTTTGTCGAGGATGGAGTTGTATTAATGATTGTCTGATATGTATCCCTTAGGTGTAAAGGTCTCTTAATTCTTGAAACCTACACCACAAAATTTGGAGATGACCTGGAGAGGCCTGATTTCCTGGACATTGCAAAAGAAGTTACAGGAGATCCATTGTACTCTATGTTTCACTTATCACTTAAAGAATAATGGGTGTCTATGCACTAGCAGTGGTTAACTAACCCAATGCGTGGTCATTTTAATGTATATTTTGGGAGTGACAGGTACCTATCATACTGTAAAATTCTGATAAGGTCTGTGCTTTTGTTTAAAGACTTTCTTGGTGGGTTAATTTTAAAGTGGGCGAATTATTTGGGGGACAAGGCTTTTTATTGGAAGAAGTTCTCCATCTCAAAAAATAGGTTGAAATCTGAGACTGACACATCTGAGACTTCTCTACAATCATGAGATGAAATCAAATGCTGTTATGATGTAAGATACAAAACAGCCTCAACTGTAATGGGATGTAAGGTAATTGGAAGAAATTTTATTTGATTTATCTTAGCTTTTGATTTAACTTAACTTAACAGAAGCTTCTTTTGCAATGGGCTAATGTTCAGCATGGCTTTCTATTGGAATTTTACAGTGTGCCTTGGTCTCTCTCTTCTTCTCGCCCCCTGGAGCAAGAGAGAGGGTACGAGAAAGAGAGACTCCAGGATAGAGGTTGTGTGGCTGTTAAAAGTAATGTGTGAACTGTGTTATACTACGTAAATGTGTAAATCATCCTGGAGTGAAATAGTGTTAAACTACACTAAGACATCCCTCTAGTTATTTCAGTAAGCAATCAGTCTTAAAATTTTGCTGATAAAGAAAATCCCTCCCAGCTGCTATCCATTCTTATTTTGTTACAGCCGGAACATTACAAGTTGCATAACAGTAGTGAAATGCTTTGCGGACAATGCCAGATTTATTATAGGTACTTAAGTCTTCTTCTACTGGTGATTTTTAAACTTGCTTTACCCTTGTTTGTTTATAAAATGTGGCCCTCAGTCGAGTGAAATCCGGACTTAATTCATTGCCTTAATCATATTAATATCATGAATTACTTGTTTTAAATTTAGTTCAATGGAGTGCCAGTAATATTTGGCAAAATATTATTTATGAAGACAAAAATTTAAACTCTTTTCACAGAATTTAAAATTTACTTGTAATTAGTCTTTTTTTATATTTGTACATTTTCACTTCTATAAAATTGTACAAATTCAGCAATAATTTATTAGTTTCTGACTGATGTATCACTAGTTGTAAAAAATCATACAGTCAGACTTTTACCAAACAGAACAGTTAAGTTGAACATATTTTCTGAAACAATCTTTTGCAAAAGTACATTAAGGAGGATAATATTGATTTGCAAGGAATCTTGGTCAGATGCTGCAATTATAGTGATTTCCTGGAGTTATTAGCTAGGCCATTGTAAAACCATAAAATGTATCATTTTTCCTTGTCAAAACTATTATGTAATGTTCTGGTGGAAGAATATTATTGTTAGAACTGATTTTTAAATGAAACAAATTCTTTTTACATGTAAGTGGTGGTAACAGTCCCTGACCTTACAACCATAATGTTATTATTATCTAGTGCAGACTGCTAAGCTCCTGAAGGTGATATGTAAAATTCCTTGTAGCAGGATCTCCCAACTGTACACACTTGTCCAAAACAAAATTTTTACCTGTGGTTATAATGTTTACCAAGTACGGGATGGACCAGGAGACACTGTAAGGAGATGGTAGGAGGCAAAGTGGCAGCAGCGACAACAAAAATTTAGAAGAATAAAAATTATTGAATAAAAAGGCCAATCTGCCAGTGTCCTGCTCCACACCTGAACTTTTCAAATGATTTATCTCAAACAAATTCATTGTTTAATAACAGAAATCAAGAAACAGAGTTTTAAGAAAAGAGGGAGAAAACAACATTTTTGAACGGAATATTCCTTCTAAATAATGACAGGCCCCAAAGACAGAAATGAAGGTTTTATTTCTTAAAGAAGGATGGAGAATCGTCTGTTATCTTTAAAATTAATGCAAGAATCAAACAATACTCATGGGGGACTCCCATATCAAAGGGTTGGGAATGGTTGTTATCGCACACAAGGGTAAACTTTGCAGATTTGGGTATCAGTTAGGGGCTCCAGGGAGGACAGCAGATAATTAAATAATTAATTAATTAATTAAAGCTGTTGGGGTATATTTTAGACTTGCAAAGAAACAGTCACCCTGTTGCTGGACTGGACTGATCAAGCACAACTTTTTTTAGAATACAGTCAAAGCTGTCATAAGCAACCACCTCAGACAATTCGAAAAAGTGGTTGTAATTAGAGCTGGTTGCTTTCAAGAATGAGCTAATAGAGGGTGGTCACTTACAAGAGGTTCAGAAACTCCTTAATAATTCATGTCGTGACATTTGATATAGACAAGGCTAAACTGCACTGTACATGGTCTTTATCAACGAACCATTAGCACAGTGTTCAGTTTCATTAATGTGTTGATTTATGTGTAAAAGGACGAGTGGCTGCTTACAAGAGCAGAAAACACAACCCTACATTTAGTTTTAAAAAGTGCAAAGAATTGCAGAAATTAGAATAAAAAGAACTGTTGAGCCCCTACATTATGCAAGAGAAATTTGAAAACAGCATTCAACTCTGAAAACTCATCAAATCTTTTCCATCCACACTACGCCGGAGAAATTGAAAACTTAACAATCACCGGTCACTTTGTATTTGTGTTTAAGGAAAACTGGGACAGGAAAATCACAGAACTATCGCGACATCGTTTTCAAAAAAGCTTGGTTTGTTCACACTAAAACAAAGCCTGCATTTTCAATTCTTCTGGTTTGATGAACTTTTTCAAAAAAGCTCCATTTTTGTGAAAAATTGGTGTGGATGGCAGGCCCATCCATAGAAATAAAGCTCTGTTTTAAATTTCTCTGGCGTAGAGTTGAGGAACACTCTGTCCGAGTGTGGATAACATACTCATCTACTCCTTGGAAAGATCATTTAATCAAACCCTTCAAACAGTTCACAAATGCCTCAAATATTAACATCAAAAATATTCCAGTACAGGTATTTTTAACACTCTTCTCAGCAACTAGTAATGCCAGGAAACACTTGCACATTTGAAATATTACATGCTCCACTATTAAAATACTGTGATCACCTCAACCAGCAAGTGTTTGTTGGCAGTCAGGAACTAACAAAGAATATTAACACCATGTGGAGTAGACTAGAAATCAAACAGTTTTATGTGTTAAAGTATACTGTGCCAAAGGTTTTAAAATTCTGCCATTTCTTTTCAAGGGGGCTGTTTTATATACTAGAGTAGTAGACAAATCTAGCTTTCTACCATAATTATCACAACCAAAACGTTTCTATAAAAGCAAATTTATTTTAACTGCAAAATTCACAAATTACACCGTTTTCTATCTTTACAAGTTGGCAGTTGTCCATAGCATGTACCTTCACAACCTGAAAGGTAATCAGAACATAATCTTGAAACTTTGAAATTTTAATTATGAATGGACATAAAGAACAAGATCAAGAGTACTCAACCAACAAACCTTTTGACACCACTACTGTCCTGGAGCTGACAGACTCTTGTCCATGAACCTTCTTTTAACAAAACACATCCACCACTGAAAGAGATTCAGATTAGTATTACAATCTACATTACTGTAAGGTCAACACCTCCCTAAAGACATTGCTGTCTTGCTGGTCTTCGTTGTATTTCGCTTGTTTCCCTGTAAATCAACTCTCGTTTTACAGCAGACCCATTTGTAAAGCAGACTGCCAGACCCATTCCTGAGGATGTTGGCCTTAGAGAGAGGTTACTGTCATTTAGTAAAGTGTTACCCTATTTTAAAATGCTGAGGATTGCAGGGCTCGAAAAAAGTGCCGTCCGGTCATCCTTCACAAGCCCTGAATTGGAGGAACTGGTGACTAGAAGTAATAATGCCCCACCACCCAAACCAAGCCAGGGCTTGAACCCAGGCCTCTTGATCCAAACTACATCAGTGTGCCTGATTTCCAATACATGTCATTGGATGATCAAGTATTGTGAGGAAAATCATATGTTACAAGTACTGCTTAGTACATGTACCTTGGATGGCTTGTCTGTTTGAGGATCAAACACAGCTTCAATAATTCTCTGGCCAAGTTCTTGTCGTAACTGAGTCAGGTAGCCTCTCATAGTGTCTATTAAATCAAAGGACAGGCATGAAATGTTAGTGTAAACAGCATACATTTCTGACCCAAAAACGTCCTTGGGACACAAATTTCACTCCCCCCCTCCAAAAAAAGTCCTTTGAACCTTCAAGTCAATACAATAGCAGAGATCCACCAAGCGGAGCCCCATACTCATATAGGAAAGAAAAGGAGATCATGAGTTGACTTCCTCATGGTTATCATGGGTAGCAGTATTGCTTGTGGGCGCGTACACTTGATGACGACGGAGTCACGCAACATGGCGGTCAATCCAAATAATAGGTTGACAGAGAGACATGCAGCCTTGGTTTACTGTGTACTTCTTTGATGATGGACATCCATGCTATGATCAATTGACACCTGTTAAAACAAGGTATCTGCTGACCAGTATCACATGACCATATCGCGGGCTCAAGTTTACAGCTCATCGAGGTTATGTGTTTTTTTGAGTTGACTGCTGACCAAATGCTGGTTTTTGATGGAATTCCGGGCTCATCTCAGGTTAACTTGTTGAAAACAGGGCAGGATTGTTCCGAAGTCAGTTAACACTAACCCAGGATTAAAAGTTAACCAAATTATAACTTTTTCTTATATACAAATGTTTTTTTGCTGCTTTGTTTTGTGTATATAGTGATTATTAAAACTCAAAACAGAGGGCCAAACAATGGAAAGAAAACCTCAACGCAAAGTTACAAAACTCAAATCAAAATTTTACCTCTTCCTGGGTTTGCTTAATTTGGCTATGAACAACCCGGCCCAGGAGCTATGCTTTTAGGCTGGCCTAAATCTATGTCTTACCAAAAACTGCCGCTTGTAAGCCCTGGGTTTATACAACTTCATAAGGGGTTTTAGGTGGGCTTATAAACAGACGGGCTTATATCCAAGGGGGGTATAACTGGAATAAAAAACCATTTCGAAACAAGCTATAGCTGCACATGTTGATTGAAATAGGTTTTTCATTTACTGGTAATGCTTAAACATAATAAAACGAATTCAAAACAAGGAAAGTTAGAGGGGGCTTATATCCAGAGGGGCTTATAATAACCGGATCTATTTTTTTTTTTTAGTTTAATACAGGTAGATGGACCTATAACCAGGAGGGTGGCTTATAAACAGCAATTTACGGTATTCTACTTGAGTATCCCCACCCCACCCCATCCCAGGCATGTGCATATTGCCATGTGGAGTGAAAAAAACATTACTTGAGTAGCCACGGCCTTTAAATGCTGACAAAGAAAATAATGTTAACAAGTTCATATATGAACTCAGTTAAATGGCCTTGCTCTCCATGAGTTCTCGTAGCTCAGTGGATAGAGCACCCGCCCGGTGTACGGGAGGTCATGGGTTCGATTCCTGTCGGGGACTCAGAATTTTTCTTTGTCCCACGCTCGTTTCATGTTGATTAATTCACCCTTACATTTCATTACTGAGCTTAAAATTCACCATCTTTATTAACTTATCAAGGGATTACATTAGTTCACCTGCTTCTGACTTAGTAGATGGTTTTTGGTACATGGCATTCAGCGGAAAGCCACTGTCTCCTGGAAGGGAAAAATTGGCAAGTGCTAATGTCGCCATCTCTTTTTTACCTTCCACTTTTGATTGACACTAGAACAAAACAAATGACTTTGTTAGACGAAGGCCTAGAAATCTGACTGAAGTTAAAAAAACTGTTCCTGTAACATCTTTAACTTATCCTGAGCACAACACTTCAATTTTTCCAACAAGTCAAGATACAAAATAAGACATGCTCAGGCCTGTCATTTCCCATGTTCTCAGCCAGGCCTTTTAGAAGACAGCTCATATACATCTCTGGTCTATGAATTTCCAGTAACCCTGTTTATGACTCTTATTTTATGATTTATTTTAAAGCACTACTACAAGCAGCAGTATAGGCTGATATTAAATAGACTTTTGCTCCACTGTCATCATGACAAATTTCTGAATGTTTAATTATTACACAATACATGCCTCTTTTCCATTGAACACATCTTGTTGCAACATATATCATATTAAGGCTTAGAGGTATCAGCTCACCTTCTGAAGCTTCTTCAAACATTCTGAGATATAAAGCGTCAGGTAAATCAAAACACGATCTGCATCAGACTATGAAATATAACCAACATTAATAATATTAGGTCTTACTTTCCTGAACACTGCTGTCAACTGATGTCAATTACTAACTTAACTGTTTCCTGGCAAAGCAACCCTTCAAAAAGAGTCACACTTCCACTAGGCTACCAAGGCTTTTAAAAACGACACTCTTGAAAACCACTGCTCTTGATAACTAACTTAAGCTATTTCAGTTCAGATGTACTGGCAATTATTTAGAAACAATAAAATAAAGTCATTATTTTTTACAGAGCTCTGTATAATGTCTTCCACTGGTCATTACTTGTTGAGTACAGAAGTCAACAGACCATCAATCACACAATTTACAGTATGGAATTTTTGCAAGGCAACACCAGACTTCTCTAAAGTAGGAAAATATGAAAAGAATACGACACAGAGGGAGGAGCTGCAGTCATTTCACCCGAAAGCCAGTTTGCCCAAAGCCAGTTCACTCAGACTGACGGTCAGTTCATCCAGTCTGTTTTCTCCATGGTCAATGGATTAACAAACGAGAAATACAAATGCTTTGTGTAATTTGTTTTATTTTGCCAACAGTGTTGTCTTTGTAGTGTAGTTAGCTTCTTTCACGTTCTTTGAAGAAAGAGAAATTTTGACCACATCTTGCTTTAAAGTTGCAGTCCGGGCACACTGACATCAGGGAACTGGCTATCAGGTGAAACAACTGGTTTATCAGGGGAAGATGTCCTCTTGTGTAATGTGTTTTGCTTGTTTTGATAATAATAAACAACTCAGCACTGTTTGACGCAGGACTACTTGTTTAGAAGGAATCATGCTATTCGAAATCATGAAGTCCTGTACTCCGTCCCTTGGCACTTAAATACAAATTACTGTTAACCTGACATCTAATTTCTGAAGTAGTAAGCTCAAGCTTGTGTCACCAAGTAAAGTATGTGCATGGTGAGGGTTGGAAATGTGTACACTGCCACATGCTTTATCATTATTAAAACCAGGCATTTAAAACATAACGGTTCAGTTTGATATAGAAGTACCTTGATTTCATAACTTTTGAAAAACACGTTGGCTTTGAAAAAGTAGATAGCTTCGTCGACAATATCGTTACCTCCAGCTGAAATTAATTACAAGACGTTCACCATTAAATTAGCTGGGAAGGCTTTAAACAAACAAACAAACTATACCAATGATCTGAGCCAAAAACGAGAAAATTGGTTTAAGCAGCACGTCAATAAACACCTAAGACTTAGCATTTTTACGGATTATACAGCGACAACTTAGCGTTGTACCTCCAGGCGGAGCTGGGCCTTTGAATTTCGTGTTGATGGGAAGAAGCGCCATCTTGCACAAGGAATTAGGCGCCGACAACGTCGAATGATACGCCTGCAAATGATACACGATGAAAATTAAATACAGCAACAAACTTCTGTCCTTTGAGAACATACATTTCCTGCCAAAAAATAGACCTACCGGCATTGCAAAGGTAGAAATAAACTGAAATAACTCTCTCCTAGATGAAATCAAACCAAGAGGAAGTAAACCCACCTTATTCTTCATCCATATATGGAAGTGGCAGTTTTGTAGTACCCAGACCACTCAGATGTGGAGTGGCCGTTTCCAGTTGTTGGCATGGAAAGCTGTCATGGTGTGTTTCTTTTGTCTGTTGCACAGCAAAATATATGGTTTATTGCACCAACTATTTTTAAAACAGTTTTTATTTCTGCAAAGATTTTATTTTAATGTTTTACTTAGTTATCGACTAAAGACTGAACTGAAACAAGCCGTTTTCTTGTAATGTCCAGACCGGTGTCCAGGCTTCTGATCATGTTACGGCAATTGTTCCCGCCAAAATTGTAAAAGCGCGCGTTTCAAAACAGACGGACAACGCGAGCGAACGAAAAATACAGACCAACCAGAAATTATTTCTTAGAAATGCAGTCTTAAATTACTTGAATTCAAAGCCTTCCCGGCAAGAATTAAGTGTACAGAATGTATAAAAACCGAATTTTTGGCACTCCACCTGAACCTGTCTTCAACATGAAGTCGGCTTGTTTACCACCAGATTTGTTAGAAGAAGCATTGTATGTTCTTGCTGCTGAAAACGAGAAAAGCATGAACGATGCCAATGGAATGCAAGGCTTTTTCAAAGGAGGAAGACCAGCAGGTAACTTGACGTACAAACGTGTTTTTTGTTGTAAATGAGCAAAGCAAGTTTACTATGCTCTTATATCTTGTTTTTTTTTTTGTTTTTTTTTCAGAATATGTTTTTCTCTTGTGTGAAGAAATGGGCCTGCCAGCACAAACACGCTTTCTGGCACTTGAAATTTTTGACAGGCAAGTGAAAACTTGCTACAAAGTAGACTTAAAGATATTTTTTTAAAAAACGTGACATTGCCTCAATTTTTAGCTTGCCGTAAACTTTTCGACAACCAATTCTTCCCGTAGGTTTATGGCAAAGCACATCTGTGATCTTTATGAACTAATACGTTCAAATTCAGAGACAAACCTGCAGAGGAACTGGAAAGAGGTGGAAAACAGAATTAAAACACAGCTACCTCTTAGAGTCATGTCCTGTGTACAGCTTGCAAGCAAGCTAACTTCACATTATAAGGTAAAATCCAGTGCGTGTTTAAACCAGAAACAGCTATAAAGAAATTTTAAATAAGCCTATAATATAAGCCTCTTATATGCTTTATGTCCTTTCAGCTGTTAAAAACTTTCCAAGTGGCAGACATTTTTATATTAAACAACATCTTTTGCAGAACATGGGTCTATATTTGCATTGCAATAATCAGAAGTAAATAGTAATAAAAACGGCCCCTTCCAGGCCGGCTGAGGAGAAATCTC